AAGTAAATCTATTACCTGCAATGTGGAGACTTTTGCTAAATATTCAACATCACTAAATATATTAGTAATATTATACTAATATTGTTAGAATTGATCTAGAAAATATCAGATAAATTATGGTAGAAACAAGCTATGATAGCCTGCTAATTTGAAACCTGATTCAGTGTTGATTACCCCAAAAAATCAGAAAGGCAGAAAAGGTATACCAAGCTCCAGCCTAGCTGGAGACCATCTGTTACTGAGTTATATACACATAAGCAATATCAGCTCTTTCAGGCCTTAGGTTACTGCCAGAAACAGTATCACAAGAAAGACACATTCCACAAGAGAGCCACTACAGAACTCAAAGAGAATTTAGGAATTGACCAGGCCAGGGGCTTTCAACATTTTTTGACTGTGACCTACAGAAATAAACAGAACCCAGTACACACGCACACACACCCCTGAAACAAAAGCCTCCCAAATCAATACTTACCTGAAAATTGATGACGTTAACCTGCAAAACTGATTTCATGAACACTAATAGAGTTGGAAGACAAGTAAGGGACTGAGATCCAGAACTTGAAGGCAACGTCCCTAAGTTTCTCATTAGTTTAGTTAGTGGTAGAGCTGAAACACAAATGCAGTACCCATCCTACTGTGGTACATGAGAGCAAACAGCTGTTACCTATGCAGGTTCCTTGGCAGCAAGCTTCCGGCCGATCCTCAGAAATCTGGGAAGATGATCCAGGGGTCTGACCTAAGCTATTTTACACTGGTATAATGTCCAAGGTCACTTAGTGAACAGTCAACGCTGCCAGGAATCTTGGACTGGCCTGAATAGGAGCTCATATGAAGTTTGTGCCTAAATTACCAAAAACCAATAAGCTGAATGCACAAAGTGGGATCCGATCTGTGTCAGACTCGAAGAAACATATTCCTACTCCATGCTCCTCACTCTGCCAACGAACAAGTAGCATTATGGTGTCTAACCTTGGTTATCACTAACAGTTATGCTCCAAGCTCCAGCTCCCAGATTTCATGATGCCAGAAGCCAGGGGCTGATGCAGCATAGCTGCTACTCCCCCCTCTCCACGAGAGCCACAATCTAACCCAGCAGGTGAGGGAAAAAGCTTCGTTAATGAGGTGAGACTTGAGTTCATCTCACAGAATAAGGAGGCACAGATGGAGTGCAGGACAAGGGTTTGTGCTTAATAGGAGGGGGAGGCTAGTGAAAAGCGATGAGAGGGAGGGTGGTGAAAGTCAAGTAGAAGACAGGTGGAAAAAATGGGGAGACTAGAAGTTAATCCTAGAAGTTGATAAATATTAGATAAATATTAGTTTAAAATGATGGGGAAATTTATTGACCATCACTCTCCATCTTACAAAAATATAATTTATCATCAGCAGTTTAACTCCTATAGACATTTGCCCTAGTTAAACTCCTCCTTCATTTTACCTTCTTCAAATTAATGTTTAATTATTGATTATAATTTAACAATTGCTCAGGGCTTAAACAGGTGGTGACTGATCTCTCCACACCTTGTGTCTAATGCTGTGCTCTGTTTTCCACACTGACAACATAAAATTGAGCAAGTGACAGGTATCATGATATTTTCAAAATGAAAATTTCAGTTAGTACATAAAAGAAACTTCACTGAAATGAAGCACCAGAAATGGTAATCCTGCCCCCCCATGCCAGTCGCCACCTTTTTTAAAAGCCACTATTATGAGGCATCCTTCCCCAGTTTTAAAGTGTCACCTGCCACGCTGCTTGGATGGTAGGGAGTAACTTTCCTGGTGGCAAAGGCATCTCCTGGTGCCTGCTGTGTATTAACCCACATGCAGGCACATATGAGAACAGCAAAGAAAAGATGGTCATTTGACTTCAGGGCATTTCACCCAGGACTCTGTCATTATGATGTGAGGTGTTAATACCCATTTGGGTCACCTAGCAGTCATAAGCACTTCCTAAATGTTACATGTGGCTGACATAATCATGTGCTCTTTACTGCAATTCAATACATCTCACCTGGAATTCTCCTATAACCACTTAATATTAGCTGATGGCTGTCAGACCTCCTTGAAAACATGTTCCATGGAAGGGGTAAGAAAGACAAAATTAGCACACACTGCTTGCTCTACAGTTGCCAGAGAGCTTAGAATGCATGGCCTACCCCTTAGAAAGTGTGCAGATTCTATAAAGTTAAGTGTTGTGTATGAACTTTGTTAGCGTCCCCACTTCCCTTTCCTGGACCTTCACTTTCCCTTGGCCCAATCCTCCTTTATTTCATCTGCTTTTATCTTGCTTCACTGTGAAATCCCTAACTCAGTAAGCTCCCTTAAGTCACTTGTTCGGAAAAGGTGAGATGTACACAAATAAACCACATCACGTATGGATGTCAGAAGCTTTTTGGCAAAGGCTTCCCTGACTGAAATAAGTCCCAAATATTAGGCTTATATGCTGTGACAGGATGCTCCACTGATACTTAATAATGAAGACTTGGCACCACTCAGAGAGACTCCTTCTTTTGAAAAGATCAATGGAATACAAACATTAAACCACTTTAAATCAGAGAAAGCAAGACCCTTTAAATGTGCAAAGACAGAGCAAGCACACAGCCATGGAGAAAGGGGAGGGGACATGCACAGGCTGGAAGAAGGATCAAGGACTTCCAGAAAACAACTGCACCTGCTAAAGACACTGCAAGTTTAACACAACATTTCTTTACTGAACTTTGAGTGACACCTAGAATTGTGTTTTATGTAGATGTAGTAACAACTTTTCCTCAAGCACTTTTAAGACACCATCTAAAAGGACAGTTGAGTAATTTCTGAAGTTCACAAGAGCAATGATCAATGCATCAGAAAAACTATAATGGTTCCCAAAGGAAACTAGATGCCCCAAATTTACATTGCCTGCCAGGCTGGAAAGACAAGTGCTCTTGAGCTGAGCACTTTAGCTCTTTAACTGTTAAGAGCATCATACTTTTTTCCTCTGAATGCTTTCAATGTCAGTCAATTCTTCAGCTTTACTATCTTTCTTATGTGAAGTAAAGAAGCCTCAGTTCTAGCTGTTATCCAGGTATTCTAGAAAGGCCCAACCTGAATATACTGCAGCAGTGACAGCTATTATAGACAGGAGGACCTATTGCAGTCCTGAACAGAAGACTATCACTAACTCCTGTATTAAATACTGTATTTCCAGTTAATTATCACAACGACCTTAGGAATTCAAGGTTCCTTAGGAATTCACAGCTGTTCTCTGCTTGTTTTCACTACTAAGCTAAATTTCCTTGAGAAATGTATATCCTGTAAATAAACCTATTTCCTAGAACATTAAACATCATTACTACACAAATCTAACACAAAGAAAAAAAAGAAACATAACTTTATTTGTTATCAACTGATTCTGGTCTTCGAACAGTAACTATTTACCTACAAACACCCATCAGGAAAAGGACTGTGTACCACCTAATGTATTTCTCTTTGTCAGGCCCCTGGACAACAGTTTCTGTTTATGACACAGATTGTGGAGGGAAACTGGAACAATTATTTTAGGCAGTAAGAGACTGCATGTACAACCAGGCATTTTACCAAAACTTGTTAGTAGTATGATTTTAAAACGTGACAGTTTGGCTTCACCGGTAGAAGAAATAAAACTCATTCAACCAAACAAATGCAGGAGATACTGATTATCTGAGAGACCTTCTTATATTTACTGGGTCTGCTTTCCTGACTAGACACTTCAGGTTAGCCAACAGAAGTCCTATCAAGGAACAGTGAACAAAATAGGAAATTGACTTTTAAAACTGTTATTCCCTGGTCAAGTGATTGATTAAGAAGATAACTGTGCAAGTATCTTATGGGATCAGAAATGTGTTCTGATGCCTGATTTGTAGAGAGAACTGGTTTTGATACCCGCGGCAATCCACAGAGATAACACCGTTAAAGCCACCTCTTAGGTTGTGCAAATCACAGGGGTCCCGAAGTGCAGGGTGGCCACCTTGAGCATCTATTCTATTCCATTTGCGTGTCGCTGGTGGCAGCGAGGACGAATGCACCCCTTTCCTGCCCTTGGATGGACTGCAGGTAAACGAGGCTTTCAGAAAGTACTTGCAAACCTTTCCTCTCAACTTTCCCAACTGCATTCTGCGCACGGAAAACAAAGCAGCCTCCCTTAGCTCCACTGGACTGCTCGCAAAGCCAGTCCCCAGGCGCCCGGGCCCGCAGAGGCGCTGGCGGCTCAGCTCGGCGCGCGCCAGTGGGGCGCACCCAGCACCCCGTCCCGAGCACACCGGGGTCACGCACACCCCCCACTTCGCGTCCACACATAAACACGCGCGCTCCCTCGCGCCCCTCCAGAAACGCCCCAACGCGCGCTCCCGCGTGAACCTAAACACACTCCGTCTCCCACGCGTCCAAGGACCCCGCGTGTCTCACACCCGCTCCTCGCACACTAACCCAAACACACGGCCTCCGCACACCAGCTAGTGAACACGTATCCTCAGACCCACCGGCGCCCCCCTCCCCAGAAAGACGGCGCAGGCTCCCACGCACACGCCCCACTCGATCCGAGAACACGCGTGTTTCATACGCAGTCCTCAAAAGCACTTGCTCACGCAAACGCACTCCCTCCCGCGCACCCCCTTGCTCCTCACATTCCCCCCTATCCGCACCATCCAGAAACACGCCCCCAACACCGGGTCCCCGCAGCTAAACACACAATGCTGCACGCGCGCCACAAATGCGCGCGCCCTCCCTGCCGCTCCTCTCACGCAGCCGCCTCCCAACGCGCTCCGTAAACACACCCGCCCCACCTGGCTCCCCACGCGCGCCAGAATCACGCGTGCCCGCGCCCCGCTCCTCAGATGTTCTTCCCTCTCTCTCCCGCATAAACACGCGCGCCACCGCCCCGCGGGCACGCGTGCTGCCTCCCCCACGCCCCCGACCCGCACGCGCGCGCCGCTGGCCGCCGCCCTCGCCTGGCCGCCTCGCCCCTCTGCCACACGCACACTCACTCCGACGCGGAGAGCGCGGCTACCGCTCGGTCGGGCTCGCGCCCAGCTGCCTGTCTCCTGCTCCTCCGCCCCAAGCGGCCCGGCCGGGAGCCGCTGAACTCCACACGCCGCAGCTGGAACGACTCGCGGAGCTCAGGGTACCGCTGTCTCCCCGCCACAGCCCAAGTGCGCTACCCAGGCCAATGGCGGGGCGCGGCGGTGAGCTCACCGGACTTGGCCCCGCCTCCCTGGCCGCACGGGCCAATCGGAGGGCGTGACGTCACCCGGAGCCGGGCAGAGGCAGGTGTGGGGCGCGGAGCCGCTTGGCGCGGGGACTGCGCCGGAACTGCGCCGGAGCCGCGCGGCGCCGCACTGGACGGCGTTGGGCCCGGCCCGGAGGGCGCGGGCGGAGCGCGGCCCCGGTGGGAGACACTGGGTGGGCCACGGCCCGGGACGCCGCCGCCGCCCTGTCCTTGCGCCTAGCTCACTCGCCCTGCCACCTAGATAAAGGGAGGCCCGCTAGGTGGGCGGCCACGGTCCACTCGAGGGCAGGTACGGCTCCGAGCCGACGGCCACGCCCGCTGCCCCGGGCCGACGGCCCCGGGGTCCCGCTGCTGCCGCGCGTATCCGGCCCGCCCCCAGCCCCGCGGCGCCGTCGGGTCCACATAAGAGCCCGCGCCCAGGGGCCCCGCGTACCCGGACTCGGGTTCCCTGCGCAGCCCCGGCGCGCCCTGCGGCGGCGGTGGCGTCGTCTGCAATGCAGCCGCGGGAGGAGCCGGCGCTGCGCAGCGAGCGGGGAGCGCGGAGGGCTGCGCTGGAAGGAGGGGGGCGCGGGGGCCCACGGCTGGAGGAGCCGGAGCAGTAGCGCTGCCGACACGGGGCTCGGCCTGGGGCGTCGGCCAGGGTGGGGCCGAGGACAGCTGGGTAGTGACAGTAACCCGAGGCGCTGCAGGGGATTCAGGAGCGTCCAAGACACCCCATGTCGGTGGCGCAGAGCTCGACCTCCTTAGCTGGAGTAGGAGAGCCTCCGCCCACTCCTCCAGGATCTACCCTAGGTATTCAAAAGTTGTAGCGCTGCCTTTGCCCACTTGCCTCCTACCAACAAGCCCAAGTCACAACTCTCTGTCAGGGCTCATGTCGCCACGCAGTCCGCCCATGCAACCCAGGGGGATCCGTCGTTCAGTTACCTCCCCCACCCCCAAGATCTTGCACAAAGAAAGGGCCTGACCTACAAGACTTCTGATGAGGCCATCTTTTACCACCACTTTCATATTACCAGTTGTGTGTGTGTGTGTGTGTGTGTGTGTGTGTGAGAGAGAGAGAGAGAGAGAGAGAGAGACTATGCTTCCTTTCTGCCATTTTGCTTAAAACTAGTCTCAAAGGTGAGGGTGGGATCTCTTGACCCTACTCAAACGCACTCACAAAAACATCCACAAAATTTGCACAGCCCTGCTACAACCAATAATGAATCATTGGTTAGAGGCCAAGTGAAGGGCATCCTGCGCCCTAGCGCTGAGGCAGGGAAGCGAGTGGGTGGTGTATGGTCTCACTTGGGAGCTGCCCACCGATTGAGAACATGAGCAAGTCCTGCTGCAAAGCCTGCTCTGGCAGAACACTGAACACACACTCCAGTCCTTCAGATTCCTACTACTGGGAATCTGCCACTACCCCTGGTTACTACACAGGACTCCTGCAACTTACATGCACCTCTTCCCTTTTACGTTCTAGGGGAACTCTTAGCCATTCATTAAGTCCTGGCTCAAACCTTGCCACCCTCAGTGGCCTTTCCGTGGCCTTCCACTGGGCAGAATGGAATGGGGCATGGTTACTGGTACTGTAGTTGCAGCCAACCATAAGGAGGTTTTATTTGCTTCTAGGGGAGGCAGAGAAAGGGTGAGAGTCAAGGACACATCGACTTTGGAGACAAACAGCCCAGGTTCAAACTCAGATCCTTGCTATTTGTGTGTTCCACTCTCTGTGCCTTGTGAGAATTAAATGAGCCAATACTTGCAAAGTGCTTATTCCAGTGCTTGGCACATTATGAACCTTCAATAAAAGCTAGCTCTTGTTGCTATCTTTGCTAAGTTGGAGTGCACTGGAGTGGCAAGTAGTGACTAGAGGCTGGGAAGCAGGTAGCTTCTGGGTTTCTGGTGACCTGAGCACTGCTTTGTGAAAAATCAGTGGCATATTTATCTGTGCAGTTTCCCATACTTGCATCAGTCATCTATAAGTGGCTCAAATAAAAGTTAGTTGCTAATAGCGAAGCACAAGACAGTCCTAACCTTTTTGAGAACATGAACAAAATCTTACTTATCCTGGCACGCGCACAACGCAGCTGGGCACACTCTGCACTCAGCTCATAGTTGTTGGATTGCTCTGAATGCACTGCAAACAAACGAGACCAATGGGGTCATACTTGCTTTTATGCGCTAAAGTGCCAAGAAAAAAAAAGAACTTTCCCACCAGAGAGAGACAGAGAGAGAGATTCCTATGACTGGGTAGATGCCCAATGATGTGGATGTAGGGTAGGTTCAGGCACCATTGTCTTGTTTTGTTTTAAGCCAGGAGCGGAGGTCAGCCCTGGGTATCCCACCTGAGGAGAACCTCAGGGAACCCAGAACCCCTTCCCTTTTCCCAGCTGCCCCATGGCCACCTGGCATGTGAGACAGATGCATTCGTGGCTGCTGCAGCACAGGAAGCTGAGTCCTCCTGTCTAGGGATGTCTAAGGATGGGGTCAGCAGCCTGTAGTAACGTCTCTGCAGTGGAAATGTCCTCTCACTGTTTCTCTGCTGAGTTCATTCTCCTGGAAGGCACTTCCTGCCATTCTGAGTCCTTATGGTACCCCTAAAGCACTGTGCAGAAAGTCAGGTGGAGCCACGGTGGGGCAAGCTGGATGCTTCTAAAGCCAGCTCAGAGCTCTGACACAAGCTAGAACTGAATGCCCAAAGGTAGCTGCTCCTTGGGGACATTTGTTTTCCTCTCTTCTAAGTTAGGAAATGAAAGGGAAGACATGCATGTGATTCAAACAAATTATTACACTGGGTTTTTATGGGGCTTTGAGTGTACTTGGGTCATTTTTTTTTCAAACAAAGAAAAAGAAAACTATTCAATCATGAGTCAACCTGGCAAGAATGAGACTAAGTGCATGTTTTTGGTCTCTTAAAGAAGATACAGTGTTCTCTCAGTGCTAACCTCCACTGTCAGTGTCATGATGAATCAAGAGGGTGGATCCTGTTGCAGAGGAGGAAAAAGGGAAGGAACTACAGTTCCTTCCTGTTGTGGTGCTGGGCACTCTCATCCACTCTGCTAATTCTCCTGCAAGTAGGATATCAGAGAGAGGAAGACAGGCTTTAAGAAGTCAGATCGCTCATCCCAAACTACACAGCTGGTGAGCAGCAGATATGGATTTCAAGTTCTGAACCTGCACTCATCCCAACCCACTCCAAACACCTAAAAGCTCTTCCCACCATTGACAGATCATTTGTTTAAGAGAACAATACGGAAATTTCTATAAAGGAGTTTTCTTACAATGATTATTTAAAGTTTGAGATGCATAACAGAAATCAGCTGATTTAATTTGCAACACTCCAGGGAAGTGAATGGTAATTAGTATTTCTGGTTGTCACCTTTGGAGATATTTTGCACTGGCCCGAACCCTCTAAAGTTAGATATGACCGTGTGGTTTTCTTTTGTCAATGAAATGTGAGTAAAAATGACATCCAGCACTACAGACAGACACTTGAAAAGCCAATGACTGCCCACCACATTCTTTTCCCCAGTCCTGTAAATTGTGAAAGCTTGTTCATGTAAAGAGGTGACCTCTACCAGCCTCGTTCACTGAGTGAGGGCAGAGCCCTCCCTACCAACAGGCATTGGGCTGGTAGCATGACTGACACATCGCTTTATTGAATTATTTATTACTGAAGCATAAACTAACCTTGCCTGTTTGATAAGAAATCAAATTTCTTCATTTCTGCATATATCATCTCCCAATAAAAGAAAAAACAAACAGGATTCTGCTCAAACAAAATGACAATTTAAAAGTAAATGCAAGATGAGTATCCGACATATCTTTAAGGCACTAAGAAGTTAACATTTAAAAAAAACACACACACACAGGTAAGAGGGGACAAGGCAATACAATGGAGGGAGAACAGTCTTTTCAACAAATAAGGCTGGGAAAACTAGATATCCCCATGCAAAAGAGTGACCATGTACTCCTACCTCACACCATATAGAAAAATTAACTCATGGTGGAGTAAAGATCTAAATATAGGAGTTACAACTACAAAAGTCTTAGAAAAAGATAACAGTAAATCTTTATGACCTCGAATGCCACTGGTTGTAAATATGTCAAAAGTAGAACCTACCAAAGAAACAATAATGACACTGGACTTTATCAAAATTTAAAACGTTTGTGCTTCAAAGGACACCTCCAAGAAGTGAAAAGACAATTCACAAAGGAAAATATTACAAACCACATATCTGAGAAAAGATTTGCATCTGTAATATAAAACGATTTCCTACAGTTCAAAAACAAAAAGCAAATAACTCCATTTTTAAATGAACAAAGGATCTTAATAGACATGTTTCCAAAGAAGGTATTTAAATGATCAATAAAGATATGAAAAAAATGCTCACCATTGGGTAAATCAGTCACTGAGGAAATGAGAATGAAAACCACAGTGAGACTTGGTTATGGACAATAACAAGAGTTGGCAAGAATGTGGAGAAAGTAGGACCCTCAAGTGCTGCTAGTGGGATGTAAAATGGTACTACCCCTTTAGAATAGTCTGGCAGTCCCTCCAAGGGTAAAGCATGGAGTTTGATATGACCCAGCAGTTCCACTCCTAGGTATGTAACCAAGAGAAATGAAAACATATGTCTGTACATATGGAAATTTGGCATTAAAAGGGGATGAACTGCTGATACATGCTACAATACACATAAACCCAGAAGCCAGCTATGAGACCACACGTTACAAAATTCCATTTACAGGAATGCCCAGAACAGGCAAGATAGAAAGAAGATTAATGGCTGCCCAGGGTGGGGTTGGGGGAAGAGCAGCTGGGGAGGGTTCAGAGCGACTGTTACTGGGTACAGTGATTTATTTGGAGGTGTACGTGTGAAAATGTTCTAAAAT